CATACCCTTTATGGTTTTAGGAGGATGCTTCTCCGGCATGTCGTGTAATCACGCCAAAATTTTTCGGTAGCCTGTGGGGCATCCATTGCACATACCGTCAAAACAAAAAAGTGTCCTTAGCATTTTCGTGCGCGGCAGGCCGACGCTTCATTATCGGAACCAGACACCATAACGAACAAGGAATAAGTCTGCATATGTTTGGTGTCGATTCAAGGTATGGTACATATGAGAACGTGAGAAAGAAAATTTCTATTTTCAGGAAATTTGAACTTTGATCTGGTATAATGGGTCCTTTATTAACCTAGCAACATACAAATTATAATCAATCGCGATATGTCGATGATAAACATCCACTGGCCGTTTCCGCTAGGCTCCTTATCTTGGAAACATCAGGGCTGATATCAATCCCCTCCCCCTATCGGTCCGTGTTACATAAAACGTGCCTATCAGGGCAGGGTTAATGTGAAGCACGTGTCTTTCTTCTGAGTTTGAGTTCATCGTCAAGGCGACTCACGTCTGGCATGAACATTTCGTTTTCGAAAATAGCATGACAGATATTGCATCTTAGAAGCGGAAGCCTGTGCGAGCCCTTGATCCGTAAACTGCTCCAGACAGCAGCATTAAGACACTGCACCGAGCCAGAGCATGGGTCACGGCCCCAACTGACAGTTGCCCGGACGTACCCGCCGGCCGAGCTGGGGACACCACAGACAGCCTGCTATGTATCCGCCGGCCGAGCTGGGGACACCACAGACAGCCTGCTATGTATCCGCCGGCCGAGCTGGGGACACCACAGACAGCCTGCTATGTATCCGCCGGCCGAGCTGGGGGCATCACAGACAGCCTGCTATGTATCCGCCGGCCGAGCTGGGGACACCACAGACAGCCTGCTATGTATCCGCCGGCCGAGCTGGGGACACCACAGACAGCCTGCTATGTATCCGCCAGCCGGGCTGGGGACACCACAGACAGCCTGCTACGCATCCGCCGGCCGAGCTGGGGACACCACAGACAGCCTGCTATGTATCCGCCGGCCGGGCTGGGGACACCACAGACAGCCTGCTATGTATCCGCCGGCCGGGCTGGGGACACCACAGACAGCCTGCTATGTATCCGCCGGCCGGGCTGGGGACACCACAGACAGCCTGCTATGTATCCGCCGGCCGGGCTGGGGACACCACAGACAGCCTGCTATGTATCCGCCGGCCGAGCTGGGGACACCACAGACAGCCTGCTATGTATCCGCCGGCCGGGCTGGGGACACCACAGACAGCCTGTTATGCATCCGCCGGCCGGGCTGGGGACACCACAGACAGCCTGCTATGTATCCGCCGGCCGAGCTGGGGACACCACAGACAGCCTGCTATGTATCCGCCGGCCGGGCTGGGGACACCACAGACAGCCTGTTATGTATCCGCCGGCCGGGCTGGGGACACCACAGACAGCCTGCTATGTATCCGCCGGCCGGGCTGGGGACACCACAGACAGCCTGCTATGTGTCCGCCGGCCGGGCTGGGGACACCACAGACAGCCTGCTATGTGTCCGCCGGCCGGGCTGGGGACACCACAAACAGCCTGCTATGTGTCCGCCGGCCGGGCTGGGGACACCACAGACAGCCTGCTATGTATCCGCCGGCCGGGCTGGGGACACCACAGACAGCCTGCTATGTATCCGCCGGCCGGGCTGGGGACACCACAGACAGCCTGTTATGCATCCGCCGGCCGGGCTGGGGACACCACAGACAGCCTGCTTTGTATCTACCGGCCGGGCTGGGGACACCACAGACAGTCTGCTATGCCAGGCCAAATGGGGAGGCCCGCAGCTCAGGCGGACTGCCAGAGGCGTGTCGACAGAGGGCGCGAAGGGTCGGTTCATCGGTCAAACTCGCTTAAGGTCAACTTTAGAGGTTCCTCCCTGCTGCCAGCAGATCAGCTGGCGGCCAGGCCTGAGCTTCGCACGGCGGCCAGACCTGAGCTTCGCATGGTGGCAGGACTGAGCTTCCCATGGCGGCCCGGCCTGAGGTTTGCAAGGCGGCCAGGCCTGAGCTCTGCGCGGCGGCCAGATTGCAGCATTGTTCGCCGCCTTCTTATTAAATTCCTTCCGCATCTACGATCCAAAAGGGTCATTATCGCACCCTTTCATAAGCAGAAAGGTCACGTTCGGGGATAATAGAGTCGACATTTCTGGGATCGCAGACCGTGAATTTCTGATAGCGGAAGACTGATTGCTGTGTTGTGAATTGTGACGCTTCCAAACAACCACGCATGCTCATATCTGAATAAGTTTTATGGATCCGAGGGAGTGAAAATATTGCGCCGAAAAGCAAAACGCATTGCCGAATGTAGGATCGGAAAAATACATAAACGAACTGAAGTAACAAAGGCCTTGAGCTGGCTTCTGGGTGCGAGTTAAACGTAATAAAAAAGACGCTATTTATATTGTCAGAGCTCGAATTTCAAGCCATGGCCACAATGGACGCAAACGGGCGCTGGCCGGCCCGGGAGTCTGCCCCGGCGCCTCCGGCACTCACATCCGCCGGGCCCGCAGACGTCGATCCGGGCGGCGAACGCCGAAACCTGGCACTCCTCAAACAGTCGGCGGCCGACCGGGGCCAAACAGCGCCCGACGCCGCGCCATAATTGAAACACATGTTTTTGTGCCTCGTGTTTGATGCAGCCGCGTCGCGAAAGAGGACGGCCACCACCGCCGTCGCGGTGTTTGTACTGAAATCACGGGCGGGCGGGGGGCGGAGGGGAGGGGGCGAAGCCCGCCCAGCAGTCGGCAGGTGGCGGCGGCGGCCGCGCGGCGCGTGGTGGGAGATCGGTAAATGGTGGCAGCTGGCGGAACGGCCTATCTCTGTCGCCGAAAGTCAATCACCGCCGAGGGAGCAAACGTGCGGCCCGGGGGGCGCCGACGCCGAGAATGACAATTTCGGCGGTAATTGGGAGTTTGGTCCGCGCGCTCCACGCCGCCCCAGCTGTGCCAAACCCTGCACCTTCTGAGGCAGAACGCGCTGCTGGAGAAATACGTCAACTTAGCAATCAAATTCCCCTCAGCCCAGCTGTTTTCCGCCAACACTTTGAGCCCGACGCTTACCAAAAGCCTCAGCTGCTTTTGAAGCGACTGCGCCAACTTTGTGTCGCTTCTGCGTCTTCCAGATCTACCCACCGTTCTACCCGCAAATGATGTTCAGACATTGAGAGTTTATCACGAACGTGAGACGATTTCTAAAATGTAATTTAGCATCTGAATCCCTCGTTTGGCGGTGCGTTGCTTACCCTAGCCTACACCTGCACCACGCCAGTGGGGCTCCACTGGCAGGGCTTCCACTCGAGACCACCCCGCCGGCCACCCGCACAACCTGCTCGCCGCAGGTCATCACATCCTGCCGCCCGCCAGTCAGCGGCAGTGTCACGCACCCCCGGCCACCCGCACACCCTGCTCGTCGCAGGTCATCACATCCCACCGCCCGCCAGTCAGAGGCAGCGTCACGCACCCCCGGCCACCCGCACACCTTGCTCGCCGCAGGTCATCACATCCCACCGCCCGCCAGTCAGCGGCAGCGTCACCGAACCGAGTGGTGACGACGGTGATGCCCTTCCTGAGTTCGTGGGCTGTGTTGGAAGTCGCTGGCAGCCCTCGACAACAAACAGGGTGGAGCGATACACGGCTGCAGAACATTTGTGCTTATGACCAGCGAGCTCCAATATGCAGTAGCCAAAGATCGAAAAGAACTTCCAAGCAGTCTCCCCCCCCCCCTCCCCCCAGTATCACGAAGCATATCCAGCTGCAGCTGTGCCAGCGTTCCACAGCTCCAGACACTAGCCAGACACTAGCCACGCTCCAGACACTAGCCGCGCGCCGTCTGACGGCCGCCGCTCCACGAATCGCCCCTGGGAGGGTGAGGAGGGGGGGGGGGGGGGTCTGTGAGCCGCCGGCTCTCGTCCCTCTGTGCTCGGGCCGGTCACTCTGTCCGTCCCTCGCCGTCACCTGAGCGCCGCCGCAGACGCCGTTCCGGCTCGTTGATGTTTATTGCGCGGCGAGAGCGATCACGACCGGCGGCCGGGGCGCTGCGACACCAGGCATTTCCGCGCAGGACATGCCGAGTAATCGCCGCGAATGCAACGTCAGTTAGACACTCCAACACGTGATATATGACAGAGGTAACACACACACATGACACGGTATACAGCACTGCGTGCCTGGGAGCGGACTGCAGGCATCATTAGTTGGCTGGGTACACCGCACCGCAGCGAGGGCCGCAAAACCGCAGCGGGCGCACAGCCCTCTCGACTAGAGCAGCGTTATTGCTGGCGGAACAAACTGGCGTCCACTCTGCGCGACATAATGGCACCAGCGGCGCATCTGGGCGAGCGCGGCTGGAGGCGAGAGGCTGGGCCGCGCACGGGCCCGCGCCGCCGGCCGTCGCCGAGGACCGTGGGAGGGGAGCAGCTGAGGGCGCCCGGGACGGCCGGCATCGCCTGAAGAACACGTCTCAGATACAGCCGCCAGTATTGCACAGGCACTGGTGCCGACAATGTGACCCGATGCCGAACAGACAGCTGCTGCTGAGGACGGTGAATCACGCCAGGTTCGCAGCCCAGCTCCGATAAGGCCATCTTAATCGATTTTGTTCTAGTCTGAGATGCAGCACTTCAAGTACACGTCATCGGACGCGTAGATACATCGAGCTGTCTAGTTTGAGGATGCGTGACAGCTTTGAAAAGTCACTCGCACAAGTCAGTGGTATACAACAGCTTAAACTATCAGCAACCGTCTCCCTCGTGCAATACTGGCGTGGGTAGGACGTTTTCACCTGGCACCACATAAAAACACAGCTAAGGAGGTATGACCATCAGCACCGTCGGCTGCACACGGAACACCTCGCGGCCGCGCTGCTCCGACAGGGGGCCACCACACGGCAGACCGGCGAGCCCCACGCTGCCAGCGCAGTCCCGCCTGTGGGCGCGGCCGGCCACCAGCGGGCCGGCTCGGCGCGCGGCCGCCGTCCCGCCGCCCCGCCGGTGAAGCCGCTCCGACGCAGGCTCACGACTCCTGCCCGCCCTGGCGTCCTGCAGCGGACGCGGCGGTAAGCAGAGGCTCCGGGCAACGGCTGGCCAGCGAGAGGAGGCCCTCCCCGGCCGGCGACAGAGAGGGGCGCACCTGAAGCCGGCGTCGCTGCAGAGCGCCTTAAATCGCACGGCACGCCCCCTCCATTAGCGTGACGCTGACACGTGACTGAGGAGGTGGCGCAAACTAAAAGCCGCACGACCGGTATCGCAGATCGGCCAGCTCTGTCCATAAACAGCGGGGCACATTTGTGTCAGCTCGGCAAGCCATCCTCAGCAAGCCGGCATACTCCGAGCCTGGTGCCGAACAGCTCTGACGGCTGGCTGCCGGGAGGGCCCGACCGTGCCATTGGTGGAGGCCACGTAGGACCGGTGTTACCGCACGTGGGAGTCCTCGCTTGATATCACTTACCACCGGGCCCACCCTGGTGTCATCACTACCAGACAGACCACCACGCACTTATGATGTTAGTGGCAGGCGGGCCGACACCACCCTGATGGCACCACTGGCTGACGCGTGGCAGCGACACTCTGTGTGTACCGCAGGCGGGTACCCCCCCCCCCCCCCCTCTTCCAATGATACCACTGGCTGACCCGGCCACCCCACCCTGATAGCACCACTGGCCGGCCAGCCCACGCCCCTCCCCCCCCCCCCCCCCCTGCTCCCGATAGTCCCACAGGCTGGCGCGCATCCCTGCCTGACTCGTAACGTCTCGGCCGCCCACCTCGGCGCGAGAGCGAGGCCAGCATGCGGATCATGAAGGAGGCCGGCACGGTGATGGTGTCGCGGGTCTCCTCCAGCATCACCTGGTTCCTCGCCATCAGCTGCGGCCGGGGCGTGGTCAGGCGAGACGCCGCGTGGGCGCAGCTGCCCGGCAGCGGCCGGCGCACAGCCCCTTCATCAAACCCCATCTGGTTCGATGACACCACACCTTGCGACAAACCCAGGGGACTTCAGGACCGGACAAAAAAGTGCCACAAATACCAGAGCGCATGGTACACATCTCAGCAGGCTGTCCATCAAGAATCACAACGGTCAATGCCCATTATAAATCATCCCACACTCTGGGTCACACGTCCCACCCTGACGCGTAGCCCGGTGCACCCAGAGTCGGGGAGCGCGCGGGCGTGGGCGGCGGACACTGACCTCCTCGGCCCGCTGCCGGTCCAGGGTGGGCTGCTCGGCCAGCGGCGCCCACAGCTTGATGTCGTAGTCGATGCCGGACGTGGCCAGCACGGGGTCCAGCGGGTGTGGCTGCACGCCTGCAGCAACGCGAACGCACCGTTGAGCGTCGCACACACGGCCGACGCCGTCGCCGACGCCGCTGACGTCGGGCCCGGCCGGGCTGCGGACGTTCACAGGCGAGCGCACAACAGGCAGGAGTCCGCTCCGGCGGCAGGCTGATCCTAAAGCCTCGCCGGAGGCCTCGCCCACTGATGTTAGAACACGTCGGCTGGTGCTTACGACACTGCGGGCTCATAGCTGTGGTCGCCTCCCCTGAAGATCTGCAGACACTGTGAGTTGAGAGTTATCACCATGAAAATAACTGACCTTCAGTTTACCAGGAGCTGCCGGCTACACGCGGTATCATGCAGGCATTGACCACTCCGACAAAACTCGACATTTCCTGTTGTGATCATGGTAACGGGTGACCATCATCACTCGTGGGCAAAGCCGAGTTTAATATGTGCTTCACTGCGCGTTTGTTTATGCATAATGTATGTGTGTATAAGATGCCCATCAATGTGTCTAAGATGCGTTTGATGCTTGCTTCATGGCATAATCTAACCAGTGCTCCTGGCATGGTGGAGGCGGATTATCGTCAGAATAAAAACTCTGTTCGCAACGTCAAAAAACCAGGGGCTCAAGGGCTTTTCCTGGTTGCATACAAGGCATTCTCATTAAAAATGATATGCTGCTTCGAAAGGATATGATAGGGAATATCGCTTTGTGCAGCTGCAAATAAAAAGAAAGCCAGACTCGACTTCGCACTTCGCTGTCAGTCGCCAGCTCCCTTGTTTAAGTTGTTTACGAAAAATGGTCAATTCATCATGGAGCACCAACAGCGGCTGATTTGACGACAGTCTCCTGAACTGACGGCGTGCTGGGTAACGGCAATAACACCGTTGACGGGCCTTCTGCGAAGTGATGAAAACACTTCCAAATAGTTCTGCTCTACCTGTGATGGTTTAACACGGAGCCGGCATGCCACAGCTGATCTACTGGCGCGGTGAGACGAGTTAACGTAACGTCACGACAACCTGCGTTGACGTTCAATACATTTGTTAATGTAACATGTAGAACTGCATTTGCCATAGTTTACGAGCGGAGAGCAAGCGTGAGACAACATTGCACCAATGAAAGATGTGGGAGTGCCCGATATGACAGCCAATTACGCCGGGCAACCATAGCGATAAGTCACTCTAGATAACCCAGTTAATCAGCGCGGCCAGAGTGGCGACGACGGTCATTCCCACCGCGCCGCACGGTCGGTTGTCGCTCTGGCGGCAGTGTTTGCCGACTTGTCAGCGCCAGTCGGCTTCCCGTCGTACGTGGTCCGCCCATCAAGCGTCCGCCCGGCGGCCCGGCCTCTGCCGGCTCGGCCCGGACGGGTGGCCCAACAATGCAATCCCGCCGCGTCACCGCACGGAATACAGAGTGAGTTCGGATACCGCGTCAGACAGGCATGAGCAGGCGATGGTGATTCGCAGGGCTTGTACGCAAACACGACCCTGAACCGAGAGGGAGCACCACTGGCTCAGAAGCGGCACGACTGCCGACGACGAGCATTGGCTGACAGCGGACGAGTCGCACTCTGCAGCACAACATGATCCAGACGTGCCCCAAATATGACGAAACCGGCTGACATGCAGCGACCAAATACTACAGGGATGTGGCGAGTGTGCAGCAATCCAGTGACTGACAACACATGCGTGCACACAGGGATATTAGTGTAGATGCAGGACGATGTTTATCCATCGACCAAGACCACGACTGCACTTTGCATTATGCAAACATCTATCATAGTTACCGTGCCAGGACCACAGTCTGATCCCTGCCCTGTCTGTGCGCCTCGCACCGCCATACAACATACTCTGTTCCTGATGTTCCAGGCCTCGTCCGTGTCCGTGTGTATGTGTGCGTTTGCGTGTGTGTGTTTGAGGTGAGAGGGCGGTACTCACAGTTGACCACGTGTCGGTCTGCCTCCAGAATGGTGACCAGCCGGCCGCTGTGCCGGTCCCAGATGAACACGTGACCGCAGTCAGAGCCCGACACCACGTGGTCGTCGCCCCAGAAGTTGGCCTCCTTGATCATTGTCCTGCATCGGGACATACACCGGCGACGTGAGGCATCTCTGGAGGGGAGCAGCCCCTGGGACGGCTTGAGGGACCTCCGGAGGGGAGCAAGCCCTTGGACGACGCGAGGAATCTCTGTCGGAGAGCAGGGCTGGTTGATCATTCAGGGGATGTAATGCTTTCAGGAGGCGCAAATGGCCTCTGACAAAGAGCAGCTTCTTCGGCGTGGATGACCTCTCAAGAGAGACAAACGTCTCTGGAAGCGTGGGGGCGGGGGGTCCTCAGGCAAGAAGCGGGTCAACGTCGACGAGCGCAGGCAGCGACCTCGCGGCGCCCGATGGACAGCACCTGCCGTCCGGCCAGCTGAGTGACCACCAGCGACCGGCCGGCCCGCCCTCAGGGAGGCCGGCCACTGGACGGACAGCGCAGCGAGGCCGGCCGGCCCGCTCAGCACGCACCTGGCGTTGCGGTGTCCGGTGTACCTCCTGTACACACGCGGCTGCCTGTCGCTGTCCATGCACTGGGTCGACGGTTCCGGCTGGCCGTCTGGCTCCGCACCGTCCGGCTCCTGGGCCGAGCCGCATGACAACAGCATCGCCCTGAGATGGTCACAGACGCACGGCCCGTCACAGAGCGGCCCGTCACAGAGCGACCCGTCATAGAGCGGTCAGTCACAGAGCAATCCGTCACAGGGCAACCCGGAACACAGAAGCCCGTCACTTTGCACCCCGCCACAGGGCGGTCCGTCACAGAGCGGCACGCCACAGAGTGGCCAGTCACGGAGCAATCCGTCACAGAGCAACTCGGAACACAGAAGCCCGTCACTTTGCACCCCGCCACAGAACAATCCAAATAGCCTCTGAATGACCTCGCTGAGCACCCCGCCACAGAGCTGTCCGTCACAGAGCGGCCCGTCGCAGAGCGGCCCATCACAGAACGGCCCGTCACGGAGCAACCCGAAACACAGAAGCCCGTCACTGAGCACCCCGCCACAGGGCGGTCCGTCGCAGAGCGGCATGTCGCAGAACGGCCCGTCACAGAGCGGCTTGTCACAGAGCACTTTGTCATAGAGAAATCCGTCACAGAGCGGCCCGTTACAGGGCAGTCAGTCACAGAGCGGCCCGTCACAGACACGGAGAGTGTCAAGCTCGGTCTTATCCTATGGGACAACACAGAAGACAGCGACGAGCGTGGTCCAACCCTTGGTGATATGCATGATGAAATTATGTATTAACAGTGGGTAACCACAGATCGCTGTGCACTAGCAGATATCGTCGAAACAAAGGAAGAAAACATAATCTCTCTTATCTAGCAAATCACAAATTTGACTAGACGCCACTTTGTAGCTGATAAGCGGGATCAGGAGGGCGAGCTGCGTCATGAGATCCGTCGTTTCATCTCTGATGCCACAAAGAATATGAACACCACGGTTCATGCATTTTTACAACGGCTTAGCCCAGAATGCTGTGCCAAAGCGCCCTATCTTAACCAAAATGGTTTCACGGCCGAAAGTGACACACAGTTTACAAACGAGTAGAACTATATCGATGTTTGCCAATACAAGCTGACCTCGGGGTGACCTGTGAGTGGCAGTCGTGTGTCACGTGGCATGGTACGGGGGCCTGTGCCGACACTGTGGGAGGGGCTAAGCGTGCCGCAGTACAAGAGAGCCTCAAGCGCACCCATCACCGCCAAATACTGACGACGGAGAACGTGATAAAACCCAAGTCGGAGACACTGGTCAGCAAAACCATCCTCCTCTCGGTGTCTTGTGAGGAGGTGGCGAGCGTCACACACCACTTAACCGAGCGTTTGTCAACAGCCACCACAGTGAAGAGAGCTGGGGGCTTTCACTAGGCCCCACCAGCGACATCGACGACTCCGAGGCTCACCACCTGTTCACCAAGACGGGATGCGAGGTAAAAGAAGGCAGGTAATATGTGTCTGTGAGCGCGCTGAAGCTCAATGCTCGGGCAAAAGAGCACGTTGTCGCAATCACATAAGCGGACTTACAGCAGCACATCATCTCATCGTTGCAATGTGTCGCTACATGTCATCTGAAGCTCTTATACCGAGTCACTGCAGCAGCCGTCTATATGTTGAGTGACGGACAAGAGTATGGAAATGCATTTTGGAGGAAGTCTTATAATATTCCGTCATGCTCAAGTGATGGCAAAAATCGCAACTTTACGAAGAAAAATGCAATTCATGATGAGAATCGGTAGATCATTGATTGCTGTTAATTTCCTTGCTTCAAAAAACAATATTGCAAAAGGCCAAAGGGCCAAGAAGGTTACGCAACTCTAGGTCATGAGGACACAATTTGGAATTTATATGAAAATACTGACATGTAGCCAAAAGGTGCATTGCATCTTTGCCAGCTTAAAAGCATGCAGTTTTGTGCGATTCCGATAAATTTGACAAACTTTTTGACCGTAGAGGGACACCCTCGCTAGTTGACATAAAAATGCCAGAGGTCCTCAGCTGTCGCTCTGATCTTCCTATAAAACATTGCACAGCAAAATTCTGAGCATGAAACAACTCCACACCGACTTTCAGCAAGGCAAACAAAAGCATGGGGTGTGATTTTGGTCCTTTCACCTGTTGCTTTGCCGTGGAATGGCCCAGCAGCGTGCTGTCAACAGTGGCGGAACTGGGCTCGCGGCGCTCTTACAGCGTGACCACGCACAGGATAACGATGAAATGCAGGCACACATCACAGGATAGCGGCGACGGTCGAGGCAAGCTTTCAGAGTACCATGGCAATCCGGCCTCCAGAACGCAAACATCAATCAAAAACGAAACCAGCACCGACGAATGGGCAGCGCATGTAAACATGTACACCAGAATACGTGGCGTCGGGTTCGAGCGCCACCTGATACCTCCGAGTGCCGCCTCGAGCCGAGACAGCGACGCGGCGGCGCGCGTCGCCCTGGGGCGCTCACCTCTCGGCGAAGGTGGTGCGACACTGGCCGGCACGCTGCCCGGACATGCCCGGCTGGGTGCACGGGTTCTCCACGGAGATCTGGCCGGCCGTGGAGCTCTGCGGGTTGTAGTACAGGTTGACCAGCGGCTCACTGCGCACCACCACCGACTCCGTCTCCAGGTCCATGTACGGGCCGAGCGGCGGCGGCGCCACAGGCGCGGCAGCCGCTGCCGCCTGCCGCCGCGGGACCTCCTCCAGCGCCGCCTGGACGTCGGCCGGGTACTGGCCGTCGGCGACGGACGGCGAGGCACCGGTGGCGCCCTCTCCGTCGGTCCGGTCCGCCGCCGCGGAGCCGGCGCCTGCAGGTGGCGCCGCTGGCGGGCCGGCGCCGCTGCCCCCGCTGGCCGCCGCGGCAGTCTCGTCGTCGGATGTGTGCAGAGCCTCCATGTCGTGCACCATCTGCAGACGGCAGACGGTGAGCGTGGGCCGCCACAGCGCGGCTGCTCCTACCAGCTCACATCCATAACGCTGATACCCGTCTGTCGTCCAACGACCAACTTAGGTCACTGTCTGCAGGACGGCAGCATCCTTCGGCACCGACCCCAGCGCCCGGCGTTATGAAATACACGCCGACAGACCATCCAGTGCCGCCGAACGTTCAAGACAAAACCACAGCGCAGCCAGCAGATGCCCCGGGCCCTGGATCGCGGCGCCCGGCCCACCCGCCGTCACCTGCTCCACGTGGAGGGCGCGCCGCTGCCGGATGCGCTCCAGCACGCGGCGCGTCACCGGACGGCTGCTGAAGTCCGGCGGCGGCGGCGGAGGCGGCGGCGGCACCCCCTCCGGCCGGGCCGGCATCTCGCTGCTCAGCAAGCGCTGCAGCACGTCGCTCATCTGGTTGATCAGGTTGGCGTGCAGCGAGATGCCAGGCCGGCGCGCCGGTCGGTCGCGCTCCTCTGCCGGGGGCTTCATCGTCACAGGCGGCGACCACCGGCGCTAATGGCAGACGCTCCCAGCGACCGGGACTCGTGGCGGAGAGCGTGACCATGACAAGTCAGTCTACAACGTTCTAAGTAGCGAATTGACTGCACCAATTCCCTGCCCAGTACCACACCGCTCAGACCACACAGTCACACGGTGTCGCGAGAGAGTGCCGCATCTCACGCCCCCGCTTACCCGCAGCCTCACCCGGCGGCGGAGGCGACGCCGACGGCAGCTGGCCCTGCGCGGGCCGGTCAGCGGCGGCGGCGGCGGCTGCGGCGCCAGACCGCTCGGGTCGCGCCTCGGGACCCGTGTCGGACCAGTCTCCGCGCAGGCGAAGCCTCTTGACAGGCGGCCGCGGCGGCGCGGCCGGCGCCGCTGCCGCCGCCGCCGCCGGCCGGCCCTCCTCGGCATCCAGATCGAACAGGTACACGTCGTCGGCCGAGTATGAGACGAGCAGCTGGCGGCCGCGCCGGTCGTAGCGCATGGCCGTGATGCGGTGCGTGGCGCCGTGCAGGTTGGGCGCCGTCCATCGATTCATGGCGCCCGCTGCCGGCCGCACCAGGTCAAGGTCAATGGGTCGTCAGAAGCGAACCGGGGCGACAGGCGCATACCACAGATTCAGGGATGTCCCCGCCACGACGGCGGGACCATGACCGCGGGTCCGAAGAGCGGTGCAGTCTGCCGCGCCCACTATTTCACAAATTGAGCATAGTGGCCTTCTCGTGCCCGCAAAGGTTATTTAAGCCGAAGTATGTACGCGAAACTGGCACGACACACGTACAGGTTACATGCCTAATTACGCATCTGACATACAAGTGCACCCAAAAGAAGGATATCGACCAGAACACGACCATACGTAAATCATATACCAGGACTGACGCAAACTAATAACCGGGACGCAGCAGGTCTCCCCTTCGGAATCGGCACTGAAAGCTTTCTCAGCGCTTCAAAGCACGGACTCGTGCAACGCTAAACAAAAGAGTCGGATGCGAGAGCTACACGGCACTCCACGAGTCGCGGGGACCGTCCAACAGCGGGAGCGGCGGCAGCGGCGAGCACGACTGACCGTGCTCATCGCGTGACCGGATCATCCTGCGGTCGTAGATGCGGACGAAGCCGTCGGCCGTGGCCACCGCCAGCTGCCAGAGGGCGGCCGGGTTCAGCGCCATGGTGGTGACGGCCCGGTCGGCGGTCAGCAGGATCGTCTGCGAACCGGCCGGCGCGTGCCCGTCACCGCTGCTGCAGCACACGGCATGAGCCGACGCCCACACCACGGCCGGCGGCCGTCCGTCCGCACAACAGGCCGTGGTCACGTCATGTCCGCCCAACAGGCGGCGCCACTCGCTAGTGCTGCCATAGACGGCTCCAGCGTCCTCATGCGGCCTTGTGCAGGCGTCCGAGTGATGTGCGACTTTCCTAGCGGTCTGTAAGGATAGTATCACCGGTTCTCCGCACACAACGGCGCCCCACATCGTCCAGGGCTGGCGGTTCTAGCCTATTTCCATTCAGCCAGCACCTGTCGTGCTTTGCCGACGGAGGAGCCGACGGCGGCAAACGGTGCGGTGATGAAGTAAGGATAGCAAACGCAACGGCGAACACAGACAGCAGCGAGAAGAGAGAGAGAGAGAGAGAGAGGAGAAGAGAGAAGAGAGGAGAGAGAGAGAGAGAGAGATAGAGAGAGAGAGAGAGAGACGAAGAGAGAGAGAGAGAGAGAGAGAGAGAGAGAGAGAGAGAGAGAGAAGAGAGATAGAGAGAGAGAGAGAGAGAGAGAGAGAGAGAGAGAGAGAGAGAGAGAAGAGAGAGAGAGAGAGAGAGAGAGAGAGAGAGAGAGATAGAGAGAGAGAGAGAGAGAGAGGAGAGAGAGAAGAGAGAGAGAGAGAGAGAGAGAAGAGAGAGAGAGAGAGAGAGAGAGAGAGAAGAAGAGAAGAGGAGAGAGAGAGAGAGAGAGAGAGAGGAGAGAGAGAGAGAGAGCGAGAGAGAGAAGAGA